TGCCCACATACCTTCACAGTGGTATGGAGGTCAGAGGATAAACTTTAGGAGTCAGTTGTCAAATTCCATCATGTAGGTTTGGGGGACTGAACGCAGATCATCAGGCTTCACGGCAAATGCCTTGAAGCCACACTGCTGGTCCCAGAGTGGTTTTTATTGCACTAATCACAAATGAGATACCAACAGTTCACCTGTGAAAATGAAAAATCATAGCAGAAACTTCATTTGGTAATACTACAAAATGGGACTTCTGACCCGCAACCAGGTCGTGTTGACTAAGGCACACTTCTCCAGTGGGCCAGTGCTTCCGCAACCGCTCTGTTTCTTGTGGGCATCTTGGGAGAGTGAGGGATGACTAGTCACAACAAAGATCACCGAGGAAGCGTCTTAGAAAATCCCCACAAGCTCATCTGGCCAGAAGATTCATATGGACTCCACATGTCTGGAGGCCGGGATGTAAGGACAGCATTTCCTGAGTTCACAAAGGCAGAGGACTTCCTAGTTCCCAGCCCCACACCAAATGCTTCTCCTAAGCAGGCGCACAGTGAGCAGCAGACACAGATTCAGCTCCAATATGTGTGACATTCTCCCTGAACTCTGCCTCTTAAAGAATGCCTTTCGGGTGGTGTTCCATAAAAAAAGAGTCGTCAGCAAGCTGTTGGGCAAAAAGAATTTTCCAGAGATCAAGTCAACCCAACAGTATTGGATACCCTGGTCAAAATTTTAATAATGAGCTTGTTTTCTGATACTATAATTTCTAAACCTAATCTTCTTCAGAGACACCCACAAAGCCTAGTTGTAAAGTTCAGATGAGAAATTATATTGACACAGTTGCTGTGTAAGGTGAGACTTAAAGAAATTCTCTGCAAGCATATACTAAGTCTCTATCCTATCTCTACTGAAACAATGAGCAGTCAGCTCCCGTCTCAAGATGATTTGCATTAGAAGTGTTCCAAGATGTTTTTATTTATCAACCAGTTAGGATCAACACTGGGGCAGCAGAGAATGTTGCCCTGTCTTCACCCAAAATAAACACTGAGATCACTGTAATCTAGCCTTTGAATCTCAGTCATGGAGTCAAGCGGTTCTTTGAAGACATCAGCATTATGCCACAGGGTAGGAATTATCACGCGGTATCAGACTTGTCTGTTCCTAATGGGGGCAAGGCACCTGGATTTTCCCCTCTGGTTTTTGATGGAAAGCTTTGCTGGCATCTTTGCAATTAACTTTATATTTAACTCAGTGAAGAGGCTGAGTCAGTCTTACATTTAATTTTCTCGCACTTGACAGGTATCTTTATGTTGCATATAATTTTGTTGCATATACTACGTTTCCTCCTAAATCTTGCAATTTCTTGAGAAATTTCAGCATTTTGTTTAAGAATCCTAATTTACCATTCATCTAGAAAGACACGACATATCTCCTGCATGTGAAATACAAGTTACCTCTCAATATTAGTGACATTAACAGAATTTTATTGTATGCTTCTGACTACAATTTAGCTTGCATATGTTTAAGGTATTTTAAAACATTTATTTATGGGGGGGGTGCAGCACACTGTGTGTGTGTGTGTGTGTGTGTGTGTGT